ACAATATGTTCTTCTCTTTGGAACTTTTGGTGATCAGAAGATCTTGACGTCCTACAAAAAGAAAGGGAAACTGTATTCTCTATGAAGTTAAGCTCAATTTGGTCTGAGAAGTGAAGTGGAGCTAGTTCCAAATTCGTGACAATGTGGATTTAGGATTATGTGGTGATCTCTAAAATGGGCATTGTTTCACATAAATGAATGATACAAAGCTTGGAAGGAAAGAACAAGAATTGAGATCTGCATTTAGCATAGTGCAGGGTGGACTGAACATCTTTGATCGGAAAACAATTTTTGAACAAATGATTTAGCAAAGTGTATAGTGTATAAGGCATTGTGTTCAGAATTCAGATGTAGATTATAAAAATATATATTTTAACAGCATATATTATATGCATATATATCATATATTGACTATATATTATATGTACATTATGTGTTATAAGTAACAATATTCTATCATAGGATGATGTTCCAAGTACTCATATAAGAGATAAGATGATCACAATGGTAGGCTTTCCACTTTGTCTAGGGTTATTTTTGAATTTCCAGATGAAATTATCTTACACTTTTTTTCTTTATTTTGGTCAAACTATCTCAGAGATACATAAATATATTAACACATTTTTAAAGCATTAACATTTGGAATATACTTAAATTTGTTAAAATTTGGGGGGGACATGGTAAAATTAAAGTTGTTATTAGCAAATTCTATACATCTTTATTTCACATTCTAGATATTATGTCCCCATAGGACTTGCTAAAGTGCATTATTTCCAGTGGAGAAAGCTGTGGAGTGGTCAGCTTGGCTGAAGTGGACCAGGTAGTGGAGACTTATAGACCACCTGCCCCTGGACTCCCTGAGAAAAATTCACAGAAGAAATATCAAACACAACGTAAAAGAGCCATCATGATTGTACTGAGAATGTGGTAGGCAAATAAGTAGAAAACTAAGGCAAATAGAGATCATATGAAACAGAAAGGGGAAACAATTCTTACTTGAAAAGAGCCTTTGCAATCTAGAGCTGTTTGAGAAAAGGCTCCCTGCCATGCTTTGTTTTCATGTTATGATTAACTATTTTTTTCTCACTGTTAGAAATGATCCCCTAATAATTCTAAATATGACCAAGAAGAATAGAACTTCTGTTTCCACAATCTGGAATTTTAGCATATTGCATTGAACTATCTTAGCAAAAATATAAAATAAACCAGAAAGAAAATTAGGCATTTATCCTGTGCCAATGGATTTGAAATCATTGACTTAATAGGTCACACTTTTCAGGTGGGTTGAAGGATTAAACTGAGCTCTAAACCTTAAAATTATTTTGTTTGTAAATGGAACACATAGGACAAAATTCCCCACTGGGGAACCACACTGCATTGGTGGAATTCATCCTGATTGGTTTTTCTGATGTTCCCAACCTTCAAGGATTTCTGTTTGGTATATTTTTGATAATCTATATTGTTATTCTTACAGGAAATACCCTCATTATCATGATAACTAAGGTTGATCCTTCACTCCAGATCCCCATGTATTTTTTTCTTCAGAATTTTTCTTTTTTGGAAATGTGTTATGTGTCTGTCACGGTACCCAGATTGTTAGCAGATCTTTGCAGACAAAATAGAAGTATTTCCTTTGTGACTTGTGCTTTTCAAATGGATATTTTTGTGTCCTTGGGATCCACTGAGTGCTTAATTCTCACTGCAATGGCTTATGACAGGTATGTTGCCATTTGTAATCCATTAATGTACCCTGTCATCATGAACAATAGACTGTGTATCCAATTGGCAGCTTCATGTTGGATCACTGGAATTCTAGTACCCATAGGGCTCACATACAATGTTTTCTCTTCACCCTTCTGTAAATCTAATGAGTTGAACCACTTTTTCTGTGATGTACCCCCTGTTGTTCAACTTGCTTGTGGGGACACTTTGATGATTGAGACATTGATCTATGTGATTGCTACTTTGAATATCACTGTTCCTTTTGTGTTGATACTTGGATCGTATGTGAATATAATTTCCACCATCATGAAGCTTCCATCAGCAACTGGGAGAGCCAAGGCCTTCTCGACGTGCTCTTCCCATCTCATGGTTGTGACTTTATTCTTTGGATCCGGCATCATTGTGTATATGGAACCTAAGTCCTCTCACTCCTCAGGAATGGACAAATACCTTTCCCTTTTTTACTCCATCTTGATACCAATGTTTAACCCTATTATATATTGTCTGAGAAACAAGGATGTTACGGTGGCCTTGAGAAAGTTCCTACAGAAAGTGAATGTGCCTTGACTCAAAACAATTATAACTCTTTATTTATCAAGATTTCATTTGTTTTTTTCTTCAGTTTTGCTAAGGTTCTAAAATAATCTGAAAGTGTAATCACATATATTTATCTCTCAAATAATAAATAAATTGTAATTTTAAAAATTAAAGTTATCCCAAACTCAATCCAAGGTATAGAAATATATGAAATAACACTTTTAAATTACATTGAAATACACATTGTATATGTATCTCCAGTATCAGTATATTGTCTGAAACTGATGGATATTCAAATATGTTGGAAACAAGGGTGATTAGTGGCACAGGTTTAACTAGTGTTGTTTTACCTGCTTCTGAACAGTATTTGCATTATAAATACACAGATAAGTGTAACATAAAGAAGGATTGAATCCCAACTACCATAGGTGTAGTTAGCTTATTTAGGAAGTTGACATTCCATCTATCCAATGCTTTTATTAATGATTCCTCAGCTACTTACCTAATGGTGAACAAACATATGCAAAATGGCTCACTATCTTAGTTCCAAAATTCAATCTTCCCCTACAATATCACTTAAATCCTTCACATTCATGATATTAATTTAAATAGCTCATCATAATTACATATACAAGTTTTATTTTCTTTTAAAATATTTATTTATTTATACATACAAGAACTTGGGTGTAGGCCAGAGTTGCTGGAGGTGAGAAGATTCACCAGAGACAGAAAGCAGAACAGGCAGATCTACCTAAGTCCATTACTGAGAGAAGCAGCAAGTGAGACAGAAGAGATGTGCTGTGCCATGTAGTTTAGTTCCATGGCCTGGGATCGTATTTAGGCCATTGCAAGGGTAATAGCCCTGAAACTTAAACCATAGGCCACCAGGGAAGCCTCCATATGCAGGTTTTAAATGCACATAAGAGGTATGAAAGTTATGGGTTGAGAGGCATTTGGATAACTGAAATACAGGTTTCTGTAAAACGATTAACTTGTGTGTATTTGCAACTTTTATAGCCTTCTAATATTTTCTTGAGGAAAATATCAGTAATTATTCTTTCACTCTTTTTTTTTAAAGATTTGTTTATTTATAGAAGAACTGGGGTACAGGCCAGAAGCGCAGCAGAGTGAGAGGATTCACCAGAGACAGAGAGGGGAGAAGAACAGGCAGACGACCAAAAACACTGCTGAGGGGAGAAACAGGCAAGACAGGAGAGGTCTGCCCCACCATGTGGGTATCTCCCTGGCCAGCCAGGAATCGAACCCACACTGCAGAGGCTGCAGACAGCTTCACAGCACTGCTCTCAACCCACTGTGCCACTGGGGAGGCCCTCTTTCACTCAATTTTTAAAGAATTTTATAGGTTTGCCATTTATTATATTGAAAAGATGAAGTGCTGCATTTGAAATATTCCACTTGTTTGCAGGCTTATTGTTAGGTCACTTTTCATACAATGTAACAGACCAACTCAATTTAAAGATGAGCAGGATTCTAGCAGTCAAGCTTTGTGACCAACCTAGTGGCTGCAAAGCTCTTGTATCTCCTGAAGAATATTGCTCATAGTTACATATTTATTGATGCCTAATAAATAAGCAATGAATGCATGAATAAATAATTTACAAAGGTTACTAAAGAGTCACAGCAACATCAAAATTTGCTCTACTCTTTCTTTTGCAATTTTATAAACCACCTAATATGTTTTCCCTTTCAAAACTTCTCCATGGAGAAAATTCAAGACTCAATGTACTATCTCCTTGTTAACTTCATTTATTCTTATATAAGACCCAGAACTAAAGATAAATTGTATGCTGATGTTCCTACTCCCATCTCTCTCCCCTAATGTGTGTCCCTGGTTTACAGTTGCTTGTTGATTTTGATTTTTACTTTATTATAATTAGTCTTTTTTCCTGGTCCTTATTTAGGTTTTCTAAATTCCTGCTATGAATGAGACCATCCACTATTTTTCTTTTTCTTTCTGGCTTATTTCACTGAGCATGATCCCTTCTAGCTCCATCCATGTTGCCGCAAATTGCATGTGTATGGGGACTATAACCAAGATGAAAATGTATATATTGTGCAAAAATGAAAAATGATGTAAGAAATATATAAAATCAAAATAAATAAATAGTGGAGATCTGAAAAAAATAAAAGTTGTCTTGAAAACTGATGTAATAAAAAAATTATACGTTGATGTGGGCAGTGAGCCTAAAAACAAAACCACACCCTCTATACGTTGCATGAGCTCTAGAGACTTTCCAAGTTACATTCTTGGAAGAAAAGAAATGGTGTTGTCCTAAATAATGATTTCATACGGAGTTACAGTACAAAGTTAACACTGTGAAGGGGCCAGAAAGGGAATCTCTACTCCCCAGAGGTGGAGTGGATGGAGAGCCAGGGTCAGAGGAGTGGTCAGGAGCTCATGCTCCACAGCCCATACTCCCCAAAGAGAGAAATGAAATGCATCTTGATCCAACTGGTCAGCCTGGCTGATCTCCTAGTTACCACCTGATAAACAGATCAAGGAGTTTAAAATATGAGCAACATGTTCTGGAGAAACACTATCCTCTCAGTGAAGAAGGCACAATTTCCTACCTAAGTTTCACTGTGTTTTTAAGTGAAGTATGAGATCAGGGAAGAATAATAATTATTGATTTTGTTACTTGATAACAAAACCCAGAAATTTATATGGCATAACACATTATTCCTTTTAAATGAGTTAGTGACACAGATTTCTCCATAATATGTACCAGGTAAGCAGAAATAATTTTACCCAGCTTATTTTATGATAGTGTATTTAAAATATTTTTATTTTATTGTTTCATAGTGCATTTTAAAATTTAGAATACAAATTCAATAAAAATAGCTTTCTTCTGATCATATTCACTTGTGTGATAAAACTCTAAACTTGAAATACATGCTGTCACTGTGTATATAGTAGTATAAGAGACATAAAATGGATGTGAAAACATCTTATTTGTGTAAAAAGTTTTGTATGACATGTTTTACTTATATTTTTCAGAATATGACATTCAAAGAATCACATTTCAGTGAATGCTTTAAGAACACCATTCAGTTTGGGTTTTGGATGTGGAGTCAACATCACTCTGCTGAGTGTTAGGTGGCCTGGGTCAGCACTAGCTTCTTGACATTGGGAAAGATATTTAACTGTCTATGCATTAGACATTTTATGCAAAAATGTGGATAATAACTGTACCTACTTTATTCAAATGTAATAAGCGAGATCATTTAGTAGTCTATTAACAGTGTAGTAATAATATAATGAATATTGATAAAATGTTAATATTAAAAAAAAAACCTTTTCTAATAACCAGACATATTCATGCAGCATAGCTGTGACAGCTTCTGTTGAGATAGCCAATTGGTAAAAGGATCACTCCACAGACATATTAAAATTGGCAATATACCCCAAATTTTTATAGAGAGTGTAAGTCCAGTTTAGAGTAGAAAATCATCAAAAAGAGTTATCTTGGGATGTGCTCTTAGTATTATATAAAATTTGCTTAAGATTTTTAAATTTAATTTTATTTGTATTTCTATAATGTCTAATCTCATGTACTCAAAATAAAATATACCAGTACAGATGAGAGAAAAACTAAGAATAATAGCTCATTAAGTTCAAATGGTTTCTCTCCAATTTTTGCCGCTGTTTTACACCAGCATAGAATAATATACTAATTTAAAGATCAGTATTCCTGCCAGATTAATACCTTGTTCTTTCTTTCTTCTGATAGGTTGGAAAATGTCTGCTCCATTACTGGATAAAGATGACTAAATTTCAAAATGCTGAGAAGTGATATTAGTTATAATAATACTGAGAAATAGAATAAGTATGATAATGATCATAGTAGACACCCGATGGAACTTAACTGTGTTTTGAAGTAAACCAACTAAATAGATTGTGCTACTAAATTCTGAAAACTTCTCCTTGAATTACATTATTATTATTATTATTATTACATTGTATGATTTCAAGCATGGAGAATTAAGCACTGATAATTTGAATTGGGTTATATTATCATAACATAACAAACTTTCATTTTAATTCATTCAATATTAAGGCCTTTAGTCAGTGAGCTCTTTATTTACTTAGGGCTTGTTAGTGGAGTCAGGTGGAATTATTTCTCATGTCCTATCTGGAGGTGTTTTTAAACCACTCATGCACTGAAGCCTTGGACAACCATTTGGAATTAACAGAGTGAAGATATGAGGGCCTATTTTTCCTGAAATGATTTTTTTCCTGCTTTCATAAAATGAAAATATCAGCATTATTCTGTGATTCCCCTGTTATCTGACAAAATCTCAGAGTGGCTGTCACTTTCTTAGGAATGTGGCCCTCCTGCAAGAGAGGTAACTCTTTCCACATAGAACTGCAATTTCTAGGGTGACATCTAACTCCCTGCCTGACTTTACCACTGGTCTGTAAACCCTATAAAGACATAAATGAACATCTATTATATGCTAATATGATTATTACTATTATTATTATCTTTGACATTTAACACAATTTGTCTTTAACATGCACTTAGCATTTACCCATAAAGGACTACAAAATATATTTCATATTGCCTGCCTAGCTGATGTATTTATCAAAAAAATCCTTCTCATTATGCTAAATACTCCTTTTTAGTTGTTTAACATTAGGGCTAGCTTGTAAAGAAAATCTTACATGCAGGGAGGGTGATACAAATCCTGACAAATTTGAGGAGACATAAAATGGGAAAAATAAGTACCAAAAGTGAAAGGAGCAGAAAATAAATAACACTGTAGAAACAGTTAGGAATGAAAGACCAGGGAGGGCCGGTGCACTGAAATTCAATTTATAGGACACTTTGTTTGATATAAAACACCCACTTTTCCTTGATCCTTCTGTTGAAATTGAGTCTTAAAAGTAGGTGAGCCATGAAGGAGCTGTTATCTTGAGGGTGAGCAGTGAGAAATTACAATCAGAATTCAGGATTCTGTGCAGTAAGGAGGAACAGATTTATAATTAAGGAGTGCCAAGAACTAAAACATAGACATTATAATTTGTTCATCTATTTGGGACTTGTGGGTGATTTGAAGACCTTGGTATCTTAGAAAAAGAAAGGCAAGTTGTATTCTCTAGGAAGTTAAGCTGAATTTAGTATGGGAGGTGGAGCTAGTTCCAAACTCATGACAATGTGGATTTAGGATTATGTGGCAATCTGTGAAATGGCATCGCTTCAAAGGTTTGGTGGAAACTACAAAAATTGAGTTCTAGCATTCAGCATAGTGCAGGACAGACTAAAAATATTTGATCTAAAAAACATTATTGGACAAATTGTTTTTGTTAACAGTATATTGTATTAGGCACTGTATTCAGAATTCATATATAGGTATTTATAATATTTCTTATTAAAACATGTCATATACAAAATATATCATATATTAACTATATAAAATAGGCACTTTATTTATTATGAGTTAAAATATTTCATCACAGAATGTTATTCAAATACTTATTTTAGAGATAAAAGTTGATTATAATGGTAGATTTTCCATTTAGTCTAGGGATATGTTTGACCACCCAGGTCAAACTCTCTTACAATTTTCTTTTTCTTCTTCTTTGCCAAATTCCTCACAGATGCATAAAACTATTAAAGTACACTTAAGGTGAAGTTAAAATGTGGAATGCACTTAGAGTTGTTAAAATTTAGGGAGATGATGATAGAATTAAGAATATTATTGGCAAAATCATACTTTATTTAACATTCTAGACTTTATGTCCTCTTAGGACATGCTAAGGTGCATTATTTCTAGTACAGATAGCTGGAGGGTGGCCAGGTTGGCTGAAGTGGACCAGGCAGTGGAAACTGACCAACTGCCCCTGGGTTACCTGAGAAAATTGACAGGGGAAAACACAAACACAATTTAAAAGAACCATAAAGATAGTAACTGAGAAGGTAGTAGGCAGAAAACATAGAAGACTAAGACAAATAGAGATTATGTTAAACAGAAAGTGGAAACATTTCTTATTGGAAAGTGCCTGTGCGACCTAGAGATGTTTGAGAAAAGGCTTCTTGTCATACTTTTTTCATGCTATGATTATCTGATTTTTCTTCTTATTGTAAATAAGAGCCCCTAATAATTTTAAATATGGGCAGGTGGAATAGAGTTTCTGTTTTCACATCAGAATTTTAGCATACATGGTTGAGGTATCTTAGCAAAAATTATAAAATAAAACAGCAAGAAAACTGAGTTTTTATCATTTGCCAGGAGATTTGAAATTATTGACTTGATAAGTCACACTTTTCAGGTGGGTGAAGGATTGAACTGAACTCTAAACCTTACAATTATTTTGTTCATAGATGGAACACACAGGACAAAATTCCCCACTGGGGAACCACACTACACTGGTGGAATTCATCCTGATTGGGTTTTCTGATCTTCCCAAACTTCAAGGATTTCTGTTTGGTGTATTCTTGATAATCTATATTGTTATTCTTATGGGAAATAGCCTCATTATCATGATAACTAAGGTTGATCCTTCACTGCAGACTCCCATGTATTTTTTTCTTCGGAATTTTTCTTTTTTGGAAATATGTTATGTGTCTGTCACAGTACCCAGATTGTTAGCAGATCTTTGTAGGCAAAATAAAAGTATTTCTTTTCTGGCCTGTGCTTTTCAAATGGATATTTTTGTGACCTTGGGAGCCACTGAGTGCTTCATTCTCACTGCAATGGCTTATGACAGGTATGTTGCCATTTGTAATCCATTAACGTACCCTGTCATCATGAACAATAGACTGTGTATCCAATTGGCAGCTGCATGTTGGATCACTGGAATTCTTGTACCTATAGGGCTTATCTACAAAATTTTTTCTTCACCCTTCTGTAAATCTAATGAGTTGAATCACTTTTTCTGTGATGTACCCCCTGTTGTTCAACTTGCTTGTGGGGACACATTGATGATTGAGATATTAATCTATGTGATTGCTACTTTAGTTATCAATATTCCTTTTGTGTTGGTACTTGGATCTTATGTGAATATAATCTCCACCATCCTGAAGCTGCCGTCAGCAACTGGGAGAGCCAAGGCCTTCTCGACGTGCTCTTCCCATCTCATGGTTGTGACTTTATTCTTTGGATCCGGTGTCATTGTGTATATGGAACCTACATCCACTCACTCATCAGGAATGGATAAATACCTTTCCCTTTTTTATACCATCTTGATACCATTGTTTAACCCCATTATATATTGTCTGAGAAACAAGGATGTTATGGTGGCTTTGGGAAAATTCCTACAGAAAGTGAATGTGCCTTGACTGAAAAACATTCTTAAAATTGTTTCTTATTTGCCAAGTTTTCATTTGTTTTTTTCCTTCAATTTTGATAAGATTTGAACTTCTTAAATGAGTGATTTCATATATTTATCTCTCAAAAAATAAATAAATTATAAATTAAAAAAATAAAGTTGTCCCAAGCTAGGTATAGAAATTTCCGAAAATACACATTTTAATCATAAGGATTGTTACTGCCTTTTTTTAATGGTTGTTGATATTATCTACACATTCTTTATTAAAAAAAAAGTTATTTATCTATATATCTCCAGAATCAGTATATTGTCTGAAAATGATGGACACTCAATATTTTGGAAATAACGATGTCTAATAACTAGTGATGTTTTATCTGCTTCTGATCAATAGTTGCATTATAAACATACATATAGATGTGAAAGTAGGAAGGCATGGAGCTCAGCTACCTTAAGTGTAGTTAGCTTATTAAAGAAGTTGACATTTCATCTGCTGTTATTGATGATTACTCAGCTAATTACCTAATGATGAACAAACATATGCTAAATTGGGCACACTTTATTAGTTCCAAAATTCAATCTTCCTCTGCAGTGCCCCTTAAATCCCTTCATATTCATGATATTAATTTCAATAGCTTCATTATAATGTTGATATACAGATTTTAAATGCTCATAAAACAGATAAAAGTTATGCAGTGATAAGCATTTGAGTAACTGAAAAACAAGTTTCATGTAAAACGATTAATTTGTTAGTTGTATAGGTTTGTTACTTTCATTGCTTCCCTCTGTTTTCTTGAGGTCAATAGCAATAATTATTCTTCACTCATTTTATAGATTTTAATGAGTAAGAATAGCTGAATATTCTTTTAATGAGAAAAAATAGAAATGCAAGGATACATTTGAATGTTAAAGTCACAAAATTTGATGAAACTCTTCTTTGGTCTATCACTGTTTTCCCACATTGGTTTTCTTCTCCATGATGTGCATTCTGTCAGCCTCCTGTCACCAGCCTTCCCAGTTGCCTGGATTTCTCACCTGGCTTCCCATGAGATCTTGTCCAGTTGTGAAACCTTTACTTACTTCCACCCTCCCCCACACTCACATCCCACTTATGATCATAATTATTCATAAGGTTATGAGAGATCACAAGTAACACAATTGCTGGAAATAAGAATGACTAGTAGCACAGATTTAATTAGTGATGTTTTATCTGCTTCTGACCAACATTAGCATTATAAACATACAGATAGATGTAATGGAAAAAGAGTTTGAGCTCAACAAACTTTTAAGTGTAGTTCACTTACTAAAGAAGTTGACATTCCATTCTAAGTAGAAACCCCAATTTTAGGAGACAAAAAGGAAACCTCAAGAACTAATGTGAAGATCAAAATAAAATCCAGTTTAAAAAAATAGATCTTTGTCTTTTTATTATTTAAAAAGATCAAACATAAAAGTAAAGAGATCAAAAAGGTGTTCTTAACTTTTACGTGAAAAAGCTATTATAACAAATATTACAAGGACATTTAAAATATTTTTTAGTAGTGTCACTTCTAGAAATTCCTGCCCTTCTCAGGAAGGTGTCTGGGCCTTGTGGCCTGAGACAGGTGCATGTGTAAGTAGGGTGGGGGAAGATGGCATCTTCCCTTGGAAGTGTCTGTACTTGGGGTAACAAATATGGTTATTTGGAATGAAGCCAATGTCTTTAGTTTACATCCTACCTTGAGAACAACTAGATCAGGACAGCTCCTCCTGCAGGCTTTTTCTATTCTAGGCTGTAAACTCAAGTCAGAGCATAATGTATGCTGAGGTTAAAATATCCCTCTCGACTCACTGTTTAAGTCCTGTTTTAGCAGCTGCACAATATGGAAAAAATGTGTTCAGATTCGGCAGTTCACATATCTCTTCAGATTTTATCCGGCAGCAGCTAACACATTCTTTGTATTAGTGAACACAGCAGATTTTAATGAATATTTTGTTGGGGATAGAAGGAAAAAGTTTTACACAATTTAACCTCTGAAAAATAATTTTTAAATTCTTCACTGATTTATTTACCCACTCAAATTCCTTTCCCTTTACTGTTCTTTTTTTTTTTTTTCCTGTGACTTTTCACAAGAAAGTCCTCACTTTCCATTGCTATTTTTCCCCCAAAGGTGAAAAAACACTGAAATTACTCTCTCTTTTACTATTCAAATCAACCAATTCTAGTCTCAACATTTAAGCACAAAAGTTGTAGAAATGCAAACAACCTAAATGCCCCCAAACGGATAAATGGATGAAGATGTGGTATATATATATATATATATATATATATATATATAATGGAATACTACTCATCCATTAAAAAAGATAAACTCATGTCATTTGCAGCAACATGTATAGAGTTGGAAAGGATTATATTACATGAAACAAGTCAGGGAAAAAATAAATATCAGATGTTTTTACTATATGGGGACTATAGAGAAACCAAAGAAAATATCAGGAAAAAAGACAAAACTTTCAAGCTGACCATAGATCTGAGTTATAAGCTGGGGAGGTAGAAGAAGAAGAAGGGGAGAGGATGGGAGAATAGGGGAGGGAGAAACACAAGGGACTGTGGTGACAGATCACTAGTGCTGTCATGGTGGGAGAACCATGTCAAGAACCACCCCTGAGTGGAGAACCACAAGTTGAGGTGGGGGATCACACCTGAGGGGAGAAATCAAATACTGTCCAAACAATTACCAAAGATGTTATGAAAATAAAAACAAAACAAAACAAAGTTATTAGCTTTATTGTTTGAACTAAGACAAAGACTTTTGGACTGACCCAAAACCAATTATTTGAAGCAACCGTCCCGCGAGCTGTTGTTTGAGAAGTCGTTCAGATCAGAACTAATGATTATAGACCTTATGGCAGAGAGTAGGTCAGTGAACCATTATGGATAGCGTAATATAATTTCAAGTTACTAACATGAACTTATTTAACCACTGAATTCATTTGCCTTTTTCTTGCCACAAAACCTTCCAATTCACTTTCCCTTTCTGGGGAAGTACTGGACTTTTCTACTTGAATCTTCACTGTGGAATTAAATCTCTTTGATCCAAATAAACATGTTTTGCCTTTTGAATTTATTGCCTCCTATCTTTTTACATTGACATATGTGATGGGTGGAAATAAGGCCATGGCATGGATATGGTCTTGGATGTGGGGGTTGGTGAGTTGGGTTCTTGGGTCCATTTGAGAAAGATTCTGGCTGTTTCCCATTCAGCAGCACACAGTAAGTTTATTAGGGTAAGAGATGTTTGGATAGATACAACCAGCAAAGCCTTCATTTTATAGGTTTATTAGGAAAAAAGAGAAACTTGATAGATGCAGATAAAGAGCTACTTTTAAAAGGGACATAAGGTTTACTAAGGAAAAAAAGGAGAAAAGAGGCACCTTCATAGACAGATGGACAGAGAGCCAGAGTGGATAACAAGAATAATATATCAAAATTCCAAGATTACACAAACACACACACACACACACAGCTATTTGAAAACAAGGAAAGTTGAAATTGCAGGCCTTGAGCAGAGACTGCACCTGCGTATCCTACCGCGGTGACTGTGGTGGTAGCAGCGCCTGCAGCGAGTCCTGTACCAGCCTGGGACTCCGGCCACAACAGCCAGGGACTCACCTGCTTACAGCTTTTCCTCCCCTCCAGGAGAAAGACACCAGCCTGGCTGAAGGCAGCCATTCTCCAGGAACACTGGCTGGCTGATGACATGCTCATCTTCGAGATTGTCGACTTGCTGGAGGCAGTATGAAGTGTGTGTGGTCTGCGGAAACTGTGGAATCGGACAGATAGCTGGTGTTCACTAGATGACAGTAACGGTGTCTAGGTGACCTTGGAAGGGGTTTCCCATGAGTAACTGAGGGGCGGGGGACTCTGCTTCCTTCTATAAAAGCTCCTCTCAACAAAAACTAGCGTTTACCTTGGCACTAACTGTTCCACTGCTGCCTTCCCTATGCCTATGTAAAAAAGAGACCAGCATGTCCAGCTAACATCAGCCGGCTAGTCCCTCGTCCTTACAGCCAGTGCATGCCTCTTGTCAGTTCAATTTGCCTTTCAACATTTCCTAATCTTCCCTTACTCCAGTTTCAGCACACTGGGGCACTTCTACAAATCTGTTCTCTCACTCCTGGCATTCTGGCTGGGCTCCATTTTACTCAGGAGCTCCCTTATTTCATGCTCTAAAAGAACAATATTCAACCTTCAATACTCAGATTGCAGCAACACATGACAAATGACAAAAGAATGAGAATATATTCCAGTTGCTATGAAAATAACACACACTACTTCAAGTCTGATCCTGGCCTTGATCATCTCCCACATAGATTATTGCAATCACCTCCCAAATGGCCTTGCTCTTTCTGCTCTTGTCCCAATTAATATTCATTGTGTTATTTTTTCATACTGCCTTTCACGGACATTTTACTTCTAACAATGAAAAAAGAAAGAAAACACAATACATATGATCAGTGATTTGGCTTCAAGGAGTTTTAACAAGGAAAGAATTGCAAATTGTGGAATTTAAGTTAAAACGTTATACACTAAGGGTTAAAAATGAAGTTACAATGGAAGGGTATGAGAGTATTACAGTTGAAATATTTCACTTTGATTGCAGAAATAATAAATCACTTTCACATAATGTAACATACTAACTCAGTCTGAAAGAGGAACAGAAATTTAGCAGTCAAACATTGTGACCAATTACAGGGTAAATCGCTTTTTATGTCTCCTGAAAAATACAGCACAACACCTTATATAATTAGATATTTATTGATGCTTAATATAGAACTGAATGCATGAATTATTTACACAGTTCACCAAAGATCCATAGCAACAATATTTAAAAATTTGTCTCGCCTATCAATTTAAAAACCCTTATAATGTCATGTTCCTATTCACACCTTCTCAGTATAGAAAACTTGAGATTCAGTGTCTTATATTTCCTTGTCCAAATTCATTTTTCTTTTTCATGTAAATTTCTGCAGTGAGAAATTACATCCCTACATAAACAGAAGGTCTTAACAACAAACTGGATGATACCTGAGCTCTAGAGACTTTCCAAGTTACAGTCTTTGAAGGAAAGAAATGGTACTTTAATAGTTTGAAATTTAGGATCCTCAGATTTCCTGTATAGATCGAGTCCAAGACTCTGAATGACTTCTACAGCCTCTCCCAGTGGAAGACTTGTTCTTCTCTCCAGAGATGGAGCGGATGGGGAGCAGGAGCAGGAGAGCAGCATGAGGTTCCTCAACATTATTCCCCAGAGAGAGAAACTCCAATGCATCACTGATTCAACCAGAGACAGCCTTGGTTATTTCCTAACTACCATCTGATAAACAGGTAACTGAATTTAAAAATGCATTATGTTTCAGAGGAACGACCTCACAGTGAATAAGGGCTTATTTCCTACAGAAGGTGCACTGTTGATTTAAGTGCAGTATGGGTTCAAGAAAGAATAATAATAGCTAAATTTGTAATTGTTAATTAGAAGTAGAAATTCATATGACATAAGATTTCTTTATAAAATAACAGCAGAGTGATCCATCCACAATAAGAAATAGTTAGGCAGTGATTATTTTGTCCTTTTTTATTACAGTGTATTTTTTATCTCAAGAATCAAAACTTATTAAAAATATGCTTCATTTATTATAATAAAAATCATTTGTGAGGTAAATCTTCTGATCTTTAAAAAACACCGTAACTGTAAGTAATCAGTCTTTCGTTTCTCTGACAGTAAAGAAGATATGACCTGAATTCAATTATTTGTCATAAAGTTTTATACTACAAGTTTTATATTTTTCATAATATGGTATTCAAAAATGGGCTTTATGAAGTTGATTGATTTTTTTTTTAGAATGTGGGGTCAGCATTGTGTAAAATCACTTGGGTCAAATACTATTTGACACTAGGTAAGTTATTTAACCTCTCTCTGCATCTGGATCTTTGGCAAAATGTTAACAATAGCATCTACTTCACTCAGAATGCAACAGAAGAGAAATTACAGATAAAGCTATTTACAGTATGGTTCAAATATAATAAATATTCAAAAATTAATAATAATAAAAGTTTCAAACTAGAGCACTCTATACTGGATAACTATGCCAGTTTATGTTAAAATAGGAAATTGATAAAAGGAAACTCTACTTCCCATGTTAAAACTGCTAAAGTTCTTCTAATTTTTAATGGAGTGAGTAGTCAAGTTGAAAAAAGAAAATGATTAAAGAACATTATCTTGGGGTATGTTTTCATATACTAAATAAGATTTGAGTTAGTTTTTAATTTTATTTGTATTTCTAAAATATGTCTACTCTTATGTGCTCAAAATACAAGATACTGCTAAAGATGAGACAAAAATGAACAGTGACAGCCCAGTAAGAGTGGTTTCCCCCAGGCACTGCTGCACTGTGTCACCCAACATGCACTAGATTAAGTATAAAGCTTAGTATTCCTGCCAAATTAACACCCTGTACATTCTCTCCTTTCTAGATTGGGAAACATGTACTCTATGACTGGATAAAAAATGAAAAAAAATCAAAATGAAAGAAAAAAATATCAGTTAAAATAATAATAACAAATACAGTAAGTTGACAATGATCATATAACAATGCCTAAAAGAACTACAACTGCATCTTTGAATTAACCTATAAAATAGATTATGCCACTTATCTCAATATATTTCTGTGTGTTACATATTATTATCACTGTGTATATTTTCAACAAGAAAAAATTTAGCTCTAATAATTTGAATAAGGACCTATTCAAATTACCAGAGTATAGCTATTTTTCATTTTAAATGATTCAATGTCAAGATCTGTGGTCAGTGAATTCTCTAGTTACCTACGCACGATTGTTGAGTCAGTGTGAACCATTTGCAATTGCCCATTAGCAAGTATTTACAAACCACTCATCACAGAATACAAAGCACTTGATAACATTTTGGAACACAGGACTGAATGATGATATAAGAGCCTATTTTTCCTTAAATTCAGTTTATTTGTTTTTCATAAAAGTGAAAATAACATTGTGATTCTGTGATCCCTAATATCTGACAAAATCTCAGGGTGGTGACACTCCTATAAGTCCAGGTAACTTTTCTTCACATAGAACTGCACTTTAGGGTGATTTCTGACCCCTGACTTCCCAGTCTCCTAAGTTTACCACTGGTCTGTAAGCTCTAAAAACGTAACTGAACTTGTATCATTCACTATAATTATTATTATAATTAAAATAGCTGGTGAGTGGCCAGGTTGGCATAATGTAGATAAGGCAGTAAAGGCGTACTGAACACTTGCCCTGGGTTACCTGAGAGTAATATACTGGAGAACATCAATACCCATACAAACAGATTCAAATAGGAAGGTGCTAGGCAGAAAATAATAGAAATATAAAGAAAACAGAGACAAAATTAATGAAGGAGAAACACTGCTCATTAGAGAAGGTCCCAGGTTACCTAGAGCTGTTCAAGAATAGGCTCCCTGAAATGCTTTGATCTAATTTTATTGTTGTCTGCTTTGTACTATAGAGATATATCCATAATCCTTAATATGAGCAGGGGAAATCGAGTATGTTTTTACATCTTATATTATTTGAGGATATTGAGTTTGAAATATAGAATTAAAAATATAAAACAAGCAAACAGGAAAACTGGTTGTTTATCCTGGATTAGTGGATTGGAAATCATTGATTTAATATGTCCCACTTTTCAGCTAGGTCCAAAGGATTCAATTGCCTCTAAGCCTTGAAATCATTTTGTTCATAGATGGAACACACAGGGCAAAATTCCCCACCAGGGAACCACACTACACTGGTGGAATTCATCCTGCTCGGGTTTTCTGATGTTCCAAACCTTCAAGGATTTCTTTTTGCTATATTTCTGATACTCTACCTCATTATTCTTATGGGAAATAGCCTCATTATCATGATAACTAAGGTTGATCCTTCGCTCCAGACCCCCATGTATTTTTTTCTTGGGAATTTTTCCTTTTCGGAAATATGTTACGTGTCAGTTACTCTCCCCAGATTATTAACAGATTATCTGTAGAAAAAGTGGAAACATTTCCTTTCTAGCCTGTGCTATTCAAATGTATTTTTTTGTGACCTTAGGTGCCAATGAGTGTTTAATCCTCACTGCCATGGCTTATGACAGGTATGTTGCCATTTGCAACCCATTACACCTTCCCTGTCATAATGAACACTAGGCTGTGCATTCAACTGGCAGCTGCCAGTTGGACCACTGCAATTCCAATACACATAGGGTTCACCTCCCTGGTCTTCTCTCTACCCTTTTGTGGATCTAACCAGTTGAATCACTTTTTCTGTGATGTCCCTCCTATTGTTCAGCTTGCTTGTGGAGACACTTTGATGATTGATATGTTGATTTATGTGATTGCTGCTTTACTTGTTGCTATACCTTTTTTATTGATTCTTGGATCTTATGTGAAAATAATCTCCACCATTATGAAGCTGCCATCAGCAACTGGGAGAGCCAAGTCCTTCTCGACTTGTTCTTTCCATCGCATGAGTGCGACTTTATTCTTTGGATCAGGCATCATTGTATATTTCAGACCTAAGTCCACTCACTCATCAGGAATGGACAAATTCCTCTCTATTTTTTACACCACAGTGACACCCATATTTAACCCCATTATATATTGTCCGAGAAACAAAGATGTTATGGTGGCCTTGGGAAAATTCCTAAAGAAATGGATTGTGCTGTGACTCAAAATGATGACCTCTTAAAACTTGTTTCTCATCACATTCTACATTAGCTTCTGCAACTTTTCTAAGATTCTGAATTATTCTGAATGAATGAGCTCATGTTTTTATCTCTCATAAAATAAACTTAGTTTATTTAAAGGTTTAAATTAATTCTAAACTCAATAAAAGGTATAGAAATATCTGAAAAACAAACACTTGACTCATGAAAAGTTTTTGTTGCTCTTCAGTGTTTAGAGAATTATCTATATTTTGTTTCTCAAAAGGTATTGATATGTTCATATAGACATTGTATATATTATACTGTATATAGGCATTGTGTATGTAATATATATATAGTCTGAAAAATAATAATAGACATCTAATTAAATTTGTTAGATTGAAATATTGACTAGTAGCAGAACCTTAACTATTGATATCCTGATAAGATTTGGGGGAAATTAATTTGTGTAACTGAAAAAAGAAGCTTTTTTATAAAACTATTCAAATGATAGCGCTGGGTGTGTCTCACTTTTATTGCCCTTGGGCGTCTTCATGAGGTAGAAATGTGTAAGTTTTTACTTTCATCTATAAAGAAGTTTATAGGATTTTGATGACAGGAATGTCTGTGTAAGAATGCAAGTAACATAAATTTGAATGTTAAAGCTGCAAAATTTGATGACCCACATTAGTCACCTTTGTTTTCCACACTGTTCTGCTAGGACATGATTCTGCATTCTGTAAACCTCTGGCACCAACTTTCCCACACTCTTGAATTTCTCACCAGAATCCCCAGGAATTCCCCTCCCATATGAAACCCTGACTCATGTCCCCTCTCTTTATCACTCATGCCACCTCTCTGAGCAGAGATTTTTACAAGGTAATGAGAGGGTATAAATAACACCATTTCTGGATTTGCTTTTCCTGACATAAAACCTGAATTTAAGGGGGAAAATGGGAAAAACCTCAAAAAATAAATTTCAAAATCAAAACAGTATCCAATTTTAATAAAATATAGATTTGACCTTTTATCAGTATAAAAGACATTATCAAAGTAAATAGATCATAGAGATATTCTTAAATTCTGTGTGAAAGACCTATCAAAACAAATACTGGGCCTACCCACATGGTTCAACAGACCTCTACTGTCTCACCTGCTGCTCCCCTCAGCAGTGTATTTCAGTAGATTTTAAAAAGTTTTTAGCAATGTTGTAATGATATCTCTCCCCCTATTTTCCAAAAGAAAAGCTCCCCAAGACTAAAATTAGAAGTAAATAGAGTGAAATGCTAACTATAATGAAATGCTAACTACCCTTTTTTGCCTCTTCCCTCTACCCCTTCCTCATGGTCAACAGTTATCTGGCTCTCCCTGCCTTCCTGTGAACTTGGAAAATTGATTGGGCTAAACCCCCACTAAAATTCTCTGTGCCTCTTTGGGGTTGATAGTGGCTCAGAAACAATGATCTGCTGAGTGCTGAGAAAACCCCCTGCTGGGAACGTCCAACACCTAGACTCATGTCACCTAAATTATCTGGCACATCCTCAGAAGTGGAGACTCAAAGCCTTGCATTTTCCTCACATGCCTTTGACCCTTAGATAATCCCAGCACTCCACCATTAGGGGTCTCAGTTTTTGGGGAGTGTACTCCCTGATGGTCCTCTCAATAAACTACTCTGTGCAAAGTCATTTCTCTCAGTTTAGAGTTTGTCCTTTTGGGTTCATATGGAGGATCCAATTGGATCATTTGCAATATCATATCTGGAGCACCTTTTTCCCTGTAACATTGATCTGTTCATTATGTTTGGAAGCTGTGATAGATCCCTTCAGCTGAAATAGAGAAGGCGTGTATCTGTATATACAATATTTGCATTTCAAATTATGTGTTCAATTGGGATATGAGCATCAAAATTTTATTTCTTCTAAAAAGATCATTGGTGCTTTGGTGGTGGGAGTGGGGTGCTAACATACACCTGAAAAGGTGTGAACCTGTATCCCTAAAAAATATACAGTGTTATAAAGCAGTGGATGGAACTTGAAATGCTAAGTGAAATAAATCAGAAAGAAAAAGATCAATATGGATGGTGTCACTAATATGTGGACTATAAAGTAACTAAATGAATAGTCGCAGAAAGACTAAAAAATATCAATTTGAGGACAACATGAAAGTGCTAATGTCTATAAGGTAGAGGCTAATATTTGATTTTTTTGAATTTAAGTATATTGAAAAATAAAATATATTTTAAAGGAAGAATTCTTCTTGAAAAATAAAGAATCCCATTGCTTGATTTCTTTAGCACTTAAATATCATTTAGGTTATCCTTTTGCAAACATATTGGCCTTGGATTCCTGCTTGAACTAATCAAGCATCCTCCAGCCTCCCTTCCCACCTGTATTGTTCTAAACACAGACATTTACACATTTCACCCACTCACTTCTTTCCTTTTTTAAATTTAATTTTCTGAGTGAGATTTTCCCCAGGCCATTTACCCCAAATCTTCATTCTCCCAGACATTACATTTCTTAAACACATTTCTATTTTATTGTTTCATTATTAGACATGAAAACTCTGTCTATGGGGCCTCCCTGGTGGCGCAGCGGTTGAGCGCTGGGTTGCGAAGCTGCCCGCGGCCTCTGCGGCGCCGGTTCGATCCCCGGCTGCTCCCCGGCCACCGGAGGAGGATCCCACATGGCGCGCAGACCTCTCCTGCCGCCCGCTGCTCCCCTCAGCAGTGTACTTCGGTCCTTCTGCCTGCTCTGCTCCCCGCTCTGGCTCTGGTGAATTCTCTCACCCTCCCGCGCTTCTGACTGTACCCAGTGCATGTATAAACAAAACAAACAAACAAATAAAAAAATAAACATGCCTCTATAAAAAAAAAAAAAAAAGAAAAAGAAAACTCTGTCTATGTAATATACTTCTTATCTTGGGTAAAATCAGTCTATTTCCCAGAGTCTGAATAAACACTGTGAGGACAGTGAGTTGTTTTTTTTTTTTTTTTTCCCCAGCACTTTGTTCCAGTGTTTATAAAGTTCCTGCAATATGGTAAAGGTTGAACAGTATTTTTGAGTAAATGAATAAAATGTATCTATATCTCTAGACAGAATAATAATAATTCAGCCTACATGTAACAATTTAAGCAATAAATTACTAATGTTTTTATGGGCCATTTTGTTTGATAACTAGACTTCACTAAATTAAACAAAATATTCAAAAACAAGCAGAAAAACTATGTCTTGGTGGATGTATCTCTTTGGGGTTTATCTATGTTTCTGATTTTATTGTTGTGATAAAATGAATTAAAGATGACAATAATTTGTGGACATACAGCCTTCACTACACAAGGGCATTACTGATAGTGTTAGTGGTGTTAAGTGCAATAATACTTGATTTTAAATGAGGTTCATCTGATAAATAAAGGAGTGAGAATATAGCAGATGATCATTTTCAAAATATTACTCTATCCAAATGCTGTAGAAGAAAAATAGTCAAGTGCTACTTTACTTTTTTAAGATTTATTTATTTATGCATACAAGAGCTGGGGTACAGGCCAGAGGTATGGGGGGTAAGAGGATTCACCAAAGATAGAGTGGGGAACAGAACAGGCAGATTGACTGAAATACACTGCTGAGGGGAACAGCGGGCAAGACAGGAGAGGTCTGCTGCATCATGTGGGTCACCTCCCTGGCCAGGGATCCAACTAATGCTGCAATGGCTGTGGATAGGATAGCTTCCTAGGTTGCATCTTAACTCCTTGCTCCAACAAGGAGGCCCTCAAGTGCTGTTTTAAAGAAAGCAGTCAATGTTCCGTGGTCAAAAACTAAATTGCACGGTCTTTCAGCTGCAGGAGAACTGGAGACATATCCTGGCCACTATGAAAATAACAAGGAAGACATGAAGGAGAACTGGATTTTGTGGATGCTTCTCAGTCTCTAGCATGGTGCAGAACACAGCTATCAGATGCAAGTGGGGAGAGTGAAGGGAATTAAGGAGAAAAATGCCATCCTTCAATTTACTTTAGAGAAAAGGATAATCCTTGAATGAAGAAAGTGAAGTGAACTAGCACTGAAAAAATAAAGAATATTTTCTAAATTATTCCAGGATAATTTAAGCATAAGTCAGGATGGACTAAACAATGTGGGTAAAGGAGAGGGAGCATAACAAATGTCATATTTTTTAATGAGGTTGATTTTTATCTAGGGTAAATTTGAGAATCAAAGAAGAAGAAAATTCACTCTACCTTGTCTTTCCTTTTAGTTTTTAACTCTCATAATGTCATGTTCCTATTCACATCTTGACATAGAAAATTTGAGACTCAGTGTCCCATATCTCCTTAGAGAAATTATTTTTTCTTTCATATATAAACCCTGTAGCTAATGATGAATTACATTCCTGACATCAACAGAGGGTCTTCGCAACAAACTAAATGATGGGTGCGGTCTAGAGATTTTCCAAGTTATATTCTTTGGGGAGAAAGAAATAGTGTTTTAAAAATTTGAAATTCAGCATTCTCAGAGTTCATACACAGAACTGTGAACCCCTTATATAGATTCTCCCAGTAGAGTCTTCTTGCTCTACACCCCAGAGATGAGAGGATGGGGAGCCAGGGACAGAGGAGTGGCCAGGGGGCTGATGCTCCTCAGCACATATTCCTCAGTAAGAAGCTTCCAGGCATCACTAATCCAACTGGAGACAGCTGTGGTTATTTCCTAGTAGACACCTGATAAACAAATTATTGAGTTTAAGAATGAAGCAAGTCTTGGAGCAACCATGTCCCCAAAGTGGATAAGGGTCTATTTCCACCTAAGGTGCACTGTTCATTTAAGTAAAGTATGAGTTCAAGGAAGAACAATAACAGCTGAATTTGTTGCAGATAATTCAAACCAGAAATGTATACAACTAAAGACTATTATTTTTAAAAGAGCAACACAATGATTTCTTCATCATATAAAAAAGGTATGTGGCCATTATTTTAACCTGATTATTATAAATACACTTAAACTGTAAATAATCAGCCTTTCATTTTTCTAACAGTAAAGAAGATACAAAATGGACATGAAATCAACTTGCTGTTGTGAATAGTTTTATATTGTAAATTTTACTTATTTTTTATATTAAATTTAAAATCATTATTCATTGAATGCTTTATGAAACTCATTGAACTGTGATTGAGAATATGCAGTTGTCATCATGCTGTTGAGTGTTAAGTCACCTGGCTCAGACACAAGCTTCTTGACCTTGGGCAGGTTATTTAGACAAAACATGAATGTATTTAGACAAAACATGAATAATAACATTACCTACTCAATTCAAAATGCAATAAATGAGAAAACACAGGAAAGGTTATTAAGAGTGTGGTTAACATATAATAAATGTTTACAAGTTGTTAATAAAAAAGTTATAAATAACCATAATCTGTACAGGCAACAGCATACCAGTTCTTGTCAAAAAATAAAACTGGTAAATGGAAAACTCAACTTCCCAAGTTGAAATTTCCCAATTTGCTCTATTGGACAGAACAGATCAATTGCAGAAAATAAAATAAAATTATGTTGGGATATGCTTTTATATATTAAATAGGATTTGAGTAGATATTTAATTTTCATATCTATAAAATGTCTACTTATATGTGCTTAAAATAAAAGAAACTGGGGCCTCCCTGGTGGTGCAGGCAGTTGAGTGCAGCACTATGAAGCTGTCCTCAGCCTCTGCAGTGGCAGTTGAATACCCGCCAGCCTCTGAGCAACCCACATGGCACAGCAGACCTCTCCTGTCTTATCCGCTGCTCCCCTCAGCAGTGTATTTTGTCAATCTGCTTGTTCTGTTCCCCACTCTGTCTCTGGTAAATCCTCTCACCCTCCTGCGCATCTGGCCTGTGCCCCGGCTCTTGAGTAAATAAAATAAATCTTAAAAAATAAATAAATAAATAAAAAAAACTGGTACAGATGAGAGAAAAATTAGGGTTCGTTCTGGGTTGTATCCACCAACATAGAATAATCTCCTCATTTAAAGTTCAGCATTACTGCCAAATTGCCACCTTTATATTCTTTCCTCTGCTATATTGGGAAACATCTACTCTATGACTGGAAAAAAAAGATGAATAAACTTCAAGATGAAATAAAAAGACTGTATGTTAAAATAATAAAGACAAATACAGTAAGTATGATAATGATCATATAACAATGCTTAATAAAATTACAACTGCATATATTAAGCTAAACTGTTAAAGAGATTCTACTGCTTACATCTCAAAACATCTTGAGTGGCATATTATTATTGTGTATATTTTCAAGCCAGGAAAATACTCATAATTTGAATAGCAACATATTACCAGACTCTATCTAATTTTCATTTTATTTCATTTAATATCAACTCCTTTGACCAGAGAGGTCTTTGTTTTTTTTTTTTTTTTTTTTTAAATAAAGATTTATTTATTTATTTATACACGCATTGGGTACAGTCAGAAGTGCGGGAGGGTGAGAGAATGTACCAGAGCCAGAGCAGGGGAGCAGAACAGGCACACTGATGAAGTACACTGCTGAGGGGAGCAGTGGGCATGGCAGGAGAGGTCTGTCACGCCGTGTGGGACCCTCGCTAGCAGCTGAGGATTGAACCGGCGCTGCAGAGGCTGCGGGCAGCTTTGCAGCCCAGTGCTCAATCCACTGCACCACCAGGGGAGGCCCCAGAGAGTTCTTTGGATGCCCTTATATCTGACACAATCTCAGAGTGGAGGTCACGTTCTTAGGAATGCGGCCCTCCTGTAAGACCAAGTAGTTCTCTCCACATAGCACTGCACTCTCTAGAGTGGTATCTGACTTTTCCAATGCTCTGTAAGCTCTGTAAATACATAACTGCACTCATATTATTTAACATTAGAGAAGACACACAATAGTTAAATGAAAAAAGGTGTGAAAAGAGGAGAAAATAAGGGACACATGAAACAATGGTACAGATGCAAGAGAACACTGGGGGACTGCACCCACTTTCAGTTGAAAGAACTTATTTGAATCTAAGAAATCCTTAATTCTTGATCCCTTGTTGACATTTGTGAATCATAGCAGAGATGAGCCATGAGACAGCTTTTATCTTTATGGTGGGCTGTGAAAAATGAAAATCTCAATTCAGGATTCAGTTAACAGAAATGGAAGGAATTAAGGACTAGTGAGAACTAAGAAACAAAATGTAGAAATTATAAATTGTTTTACTTGCTAGGAAGTTGGGGAGGGGAAGAGAAACTTGGTGCTTAGAGAAAGAAAGGGATATTGTATTCTTTAGAAAGTCAAGATGAATTTGGTCTGGGAAGTAGAGATATTTCTAAACTCATGACAACGTGGATTTAGGACTATATGACAATTGTGAAAAAGGAAATTGCTTCACATCAATGGATGATACAAAGATTGAATGGAAACAATAAATTGATGTCTAAGATTCAGCACAGTGCAGGAAAGACTGATTAAGCTAAATCTACACTGCTTTTAGCACTGTATTTTTAATTCAGATAGAGATAATTAGAACATCTAGTACACACAATATATATTATATTCATATTGTATGTTATTTATATACAATATGTATTATGTGTTAATTATATTACATGAAAGATGGCAAATAGAAAGATAATGTATGAGAGAGATATATATTCAAAAACTCCTACTAGAGATAGTAGTGTATACAGTAGCAGATTTTATATTTAGTTTGGTGTCATGTGTAAGTGTTATGATTAAATGCTTTTACATATTTTCTTTTTCCTTTGTCAAATTACTTTCGAAATACATCAACTTATTTAATTACTTTTAAAGGGTTAAAATTTGGAATATTCTTAGAGGTATTCAAATTTTTGTTTTCTATGGTAGACATGAGGATGTATTATAACAAATCTTACTTTATTTCACATTCTAGACTTTATGTGCCCATATAACTTGCTATGGAGCATTATTTCTGATACAAATAACTGGTGAGCGGCCCATGTTGGCTGAAGTGGACCAGGTGGTAGAGTCTTACCGACCACCTGTCTCTGGGTTACCTGAGAGTAAGTAGAGGAGAAATATCAAGTGCAGCATGCAAGAATCATACAAACTGATTTTAAATTAAAAGGTGCTTAAGCAGAAAAATTAAAATAAAAAGGAACTAGAGACCAAATTTATTAGGAAAGAGAAACATTTCTTCTTAGAGAAGATCCACTTAGAGCTGTTTGAGAATCTTCCTGACATGCATTGGTTTTATTTTATTGTTGTCTAATTTGCCTTATTTCTATGAATCCATACAGCTAAATACAAATAGGAGGAACAGAGTTTCTGTTTCTACATGCTGGTGTTTCAGGATACTGGTTTGGAAATATGTTGCCAAAAATATAAAACAAACAGTTACAAAAACTGGATGTCTATTCTGGGTCAGTGTATTTGAAATCATTTATATACTATGTCCCCATTTGAACTGGGCCAAAGGGGTTGAATTGACTTTGAACCTTGAAATCATTTTGCTAATAGATGGAATGCATAGGACAAAATTTCCAGCTGGGGAACCACACCGCATTGGTGGAATTCATCCTGATTGGGTTTTCTGATGTCCCCAACCTTCAAGGATTTCTTTTTGGTTTATTTCTGATACTCTATATCTTTATTCTTATGGGAAATAGTCTCATTGTCATAATAACTAAGGTTGATCCCTCACTCCAGACCCCGATGTATTTCTTTCTTGGGAATTTCTCCTTTTTGGAAATATGTTACGTTTCAGTTACTCTCCCCAGGTTATTAGCAGATCTCTATAGACAACATGGGAATATTTCATTTGTGGCCTGTGCTATTCAAACATATTTCTTTCTGATGTTTGGAGACACTGAATGCTTTATTCTCACTGCCATGGCTTATGACAGGTATGTTGCTATCTGTAATCCATTACTCTACCCGGTCATCATGAAGAGTAGACTATGTATACAATTGGCAGCTGCCTGTTGGATCACTTCCATTCCAATACAAATAGGGTTCATCTCTCAGATCTTCTCTTTACCCTTCTGTGAATGTAACCATTTGGATCACTTTTTCTGTGATGCACCTGCAGTTGTTAAGCTTGCTTGTGGGGATGTCTTCATGACTGAGATGTTGATGTATGCAATCACTGCCTTAGTCGCCACTATGCCTTTTTTATTGATTATTGGATCTTATGTGAAAATAATCTCCACCATCCTGAAACTACCATCAGCAACTGGGAGAGCCAAGGCCTTCTCGACTTGTTCTTCCCATCTCATGGTTGTGACTTTATTCTTTGGATCAGGTATCATTGTTTATATGAAACCTAAGTCCACTCACTCAACAGGAATGGACAAATTCCTCTCTCTTTTTTACACCATCTTGATACCAGTGTTTAACCCCATTATATACTGTCTGAGAAACAAAGATGTTATGGTTGCATTGGGAAAATTCCTACAGAATTGGATTGTGCCATGACTCACAAACATAACTTCTTAAAACTTTTATCATAGTCTCTATTTGGTTTTTCTCTAATTTTGCTAAGAATCTGAATTATCCTGAATGAATGATTTCACATTTTTATCTCAAAAAACAAATTCAGTTGTTTATTTTCATAAGAGATTAATCCTAAACTCTATCCAAGATATGGTAATATCTGTACAACATCTGGTTGTTGCTACTTTCAGAACATTTAAGGAATATTATCTACAATTTCATTTTCACTAAAACAATCATTTATCTCTATAACTCCAAAAGCAAAATATTGACTGATAAATAATAGAAAACTAATGTTCATTATTAGACTGTAAAGATGACTAATAGCGCAAGTTTAACTATAGTTGTTATATGTGATTCTGCTCAAAGTCTGCATTTACCCATACAAAACGTAGTAAAGGAAAAGAAGGATTGGAGCCCAACAACATTAAGGTTAGTTAACTTATTAAAGAAGTTGATATTCCATCTGCTTTATATGTGAAAGGGGCCATAGTATTTTAGCTCCAGTATTGAGTCTTTCTACAGAATCCAACTTAAATCCCTTCAATAGGCTCTGCATAGTACTTAACATTTAATCATTATCAAACTTCCAGATGTCAAGGTATATTACAAAGCTATATTAATTAAACAAGTATGGTACTTATAAACATAGGCACTAAGTCCAATGAACAAGAACTCAGAAATAAACCCACACCATGCTTCAATAATATTTGACAATGGAGCCAAGAACATGCAATAAGGAAGAATAGTTTCTTTAATAAATGTGGCATATAAAAAAAGATGAAATTGTATTCCATGTATCTTACATGCTACAAAAGTATCAGTTCCATTTGTGTTAAACATAACATATATACTATAAATATCCTGGAAGAAATCAAGAGGAAAAACTTAATAACTTTGCTTATGGCAAAGTAATTTTGATCTGATACTTAATGCAAGAAGCAATAGCTAACTCAACCAGCAGGGCTATATATATTACAGTAAATTTTTGTTGCACAGCAAAGGGAAGCATCAAGAAAATGAAAATGAAATCTGAAAAAGGGGTGAAATATATTTGCAGGACATATATCCAATAAGAAGTTAATACCCAAACCATAAGATATCATAATTCAATAGCAAAAATAAAATCAATAATCCTAAATAATCCAACAAAAAATAAGCACCCAAATAGAAATTTATTAAAAGACATGCAAAAGACTGACAGATATATTAAAATATGCTTGACATCATTAATCATCTGGGAAATGCAAATCAAAATCCAAGTGTGGTATCTTTACACCTGGAAAGATTTTTATTATCAAAAATACAAGCCAAAACAAATATTGACAAGCTTGTAGAGCAGAGAGATAACTTTTGAAGTCCTGAACACTGTTGGAGGGAATGTAGATTGGTAGAACCAGTAAGAAGAAAAGAATGGAGAGTTCCTCAGAAAATATAAAATGGAACTACCTTATATCCTAACAATCATGCTTCTGGGATATAGTCAAAGGAAATCAAATGAAACTCTTCGAGAAGATATCAAACTCCTATGAATCTTGCAACATTATTCATAATAGCCAAGATTCGGAAACAAAACAGGTGTCCACCAATGGATGAAAGAATAAAGATGATTGGACATATACTACGTACCACGAAAATTTCTCAGTCTGAAGAAAAAAGGGAAATCCTACCATTGTTGACAGCATGGGTGAAAACAGAGGGCAAGAAGATAAGTGAAGTGAACCAGATAGAGAAAAGTGCTATGTGGCATCTATGTGGGATATAAACAGATGTAAACTCACACAGGTCACCTCGCAGGGTGGCAGCATTGGGAGTGGCACCAGATTCAGGAAAAATTACTCAAAGTCCAAGTTTCGAGAGAAAGAGGGATCTAGAAGGGCTACATCTCTGGAGATACAGTGCAACCACCCCAACCCTCACCCCCCAGTCTTACATTTGTTTGGTATCATAATAGTCTGGCACAAACTAGGGGGTAGTGAAAAGGGGCTGTTGCCTGGGAGTTTCCACTGTTGCTGCTGATCAAAACTTTCTCTATCCAATAAATGTTTACACTTAACTTCCTGTCAAGGTGTTCTAGTTTGTTATGCTAATCTGGCCATAAAGTCTGCCTGCTGTTTTCAGCAGGTATCCTCATATCAAGACTTTCGTCCTGGTGAGAGGCCACCTGTCTGACTACATTTTAGCATGACAAACAGAAACTCTGCACACCGAGCAAAATTCCAAGAATAAGGGGGGCTGGGGAATCCACATATACAGAGAACAAAACAGTGGCTGAGAGATGGAGTGGAGTAGGAAGGTGTTTACAAGGCTACAAACTAACTATGACAAGGTGAATGAGTTCTGGCTATCTAATGTGCTACGTGGTGACTATAATTAATTATTCTGCATTGTGAAGGTGAAATCTGCTAGCATTATAGGGCAGCCCCGATATTGAATGGGTTGCCTGGCTGTGGGTCCTCACCCGCACGCTTAAAGGGGACTTATGAATACTCCTCTTCAGGCACACACAAAAGGTTAATAAAAGGTTTATTTACAAGGGAAAAGGAAATAAGGAAAATGTACAACTCAGGGAGAAAATAGGGAAATAAAGTCTTTAATGCGTCCTACCCAATTCGCCGACCTGGAAACCCAAAAAAGCACTCTCAGAGCTGGCCGGACGCTGCGAGCTGGCAGAGAGCCAAAATGGGGGACCCCTCCAAAGCCCAAGTGTCTGGCTTTATCCCAACCTGGCTGCTTAACCCCACCCTCAGGTCCCAGCCACCTTCCCTTTGGTGGTGATGGGATTTGGAGTTCCCAGTGTCTTTGGCTTTGGCCTGAGGTGGGGGTGAAGTCCACAAAGCCTGTATGGGATTAGCTTTAGGACATCCTTTCCCCCCCACCCCCAACACTAGCAGAGGATGGGTTACACATTCTCAATCAAACATTAAAAGAGACAGCTAGGTGAAGTGATCTGTGTGTTAATTAACTTGATTGTGATGATCAACTATTTCAATTACAAGACCTAAATCACATATTAATACTAACAGCAACATGGTTGGAAAATAATCCCAGCTACTATGGCAGCAACAAAAGAAGAAATAAAGGAGAATGAAAGGTTCGGCATGGTAAAGAAAAGGAGAGTCAAGCTAAATTTCTGAAAGGAAGGGAAAATTTTTTTTGCCCCAGGCAGACCTCACAGACCAAAGGCGGGGGTCAGTGAAGCAGTGCCCATTGTGGGGAGAGATGTCCCTTTTATAGGGTGAGGAGAGGTTAGGCAGGAAAATTGGGTTAGCAGGGGGGGAAACAGGTTTAGGTGGAACAAAGTTGTTTTTCATGGAGCCGAGTTGTTTTTCTCCTGTATATGGCTTCAGTTTCGTTTGATGGTATTGTAACAGGGTGGTCCCCAGGAAAGGGGGAGGTTCCAGGTTTCCTGCCCCACCCAAAAGGAGGGTGGAGCTGAGCAGAGAGAGAAGAAGCTGCAGAGGAGACTGAGGAAGGAAGGAAGCAGGATGGAGCCAGAAGGAGACCTGGAGGAGGCACATGGAGCCGAGAGACACGTGATGAAACTGTGTTTGCCTTTTGGTCGTGGACTGGGTAACACAGATGTGGGTGAGAGACCCGTGGGGAGATGACAATGACAGTTTTTGTCTTGATTTTGATTTTGCTCTTTTCCCTCCATACTTGTGTGGTTGTTTCTGATGCTTTTCTGTGGGTCCCCACTGGAAGATACTTTAGACCTGTGTCAGGCTTCGAGGCCTTGCTCTGGGCCAATCCTGCTTGGGTGGACTTTTACCCATGAGGGGACGGGTAACTTTGGGTCCTTGATTTAGAAACTATTCTTTGCCTTTTCTGTATTGTTTCCTAATTGTATTAAAGTTCCTTCCCGTTAAAGTCTCATATGTTTTGTGTTGATGCGGCGGATGGCAGAACCCATTTAGAATAGGCAGGTTTGCAGGGTTTGGGCTGCCCCTCTCCCTGCCCTGTAACAGAATCAGTGGTACTGGTGTCAGGGCCATCTTGTCTTTTTCTACGTGGGCTTCCTCATTCCTGGCCCCTGCATCGACCTTTCAGAAAATTGAATTTTCTAGAAACTTGTCAGTCTCTACCATGGTGCACAACCCAATTATGAGATTCCAGAATAATAAAGAAAATTCAGGGGAAATTGGAATGATTCAATGTACTTTATAGAAAAAATATTATATTTGAATTAGGAAAGTGATCAATAGATGTGATATAGTAGTAAGAATATTTTTAAAAAGAAATTCAGGTTCAATTCAGCATAATTTGATGATTGATTAGATAATGTGGTAAAGGAGAGGGAGAATGATAAATGCACTTTTTAAAGTGGCTGGTTTATGTAAGGTAAATTTGAGACTCAAAACAAAAGAAAATATATGGGTATATATCTATGGAAACCACATGACAAACTCACAGTATAATTGATGGAGGACAAGGATAGAAAAATCTGGAAAGGAAGCACCACAATATCAGAAACCTGGCTCACAATGCCAGAATCTGGAGGTGGGGGTAGAGGTATTAATGCAGCCATTAACCCAGTTATAGGAACTAAGATCCTTAGTTACCAATGCCTAGATCACAAAGGCCAAGACCCAAGCAGGTATCAGACTGCTGTAGGGGGTGTCAGGAGCACAGGCCTGAAGGTGAAAATAGGGAGATTTAGGGCCATTGTAGAAATCTCAGCAGCTTTCAAATTCTACATAATTTATACAAAATCAACAGCAAACAAACCAGTTCACAAAGTAGTGAGCCCCTCCCAAAGAGAAGAAGGCATTATCAGTGCAGTCTCTATACTTGCAGTGGGCAGCAGTCCTTCTGCCCACCTGTGCCTATCCAGAGCCTCCTTTTCGCCAGCTATGTCCCTCTGCAGGGCAGCAGCCTTCATGCCCGCCCATGACCTGTACTATGCCAGGACTTCTCTTCACTGACCTCCCTCAGCAGAGGCAGCTCTCCTCAAGTGCTCCCGCCTGCGACCATGCAGGCCC